TTCTTTTTCCCACCACACACGCCTGACACTATACACTAGTGATGAGTTCGCACTCTGCGCGTGAGAGAGAGAGAGGGGAGAAAACGCCTTTGCGTCGCTAGAACGATTAAACGAAGTAGCGGCTTCATGTCCGCGCGCGTCGCCCGCAGCTGCGCCTCCCCCCCCCCCCCCGGCCCCCCTCCCTCCCTGCGCGAGTGCGCATGGGCGCGCGATGTGCCGCTCGCGTTTGGGCCGGTCCGGAGATTGTCGGGATCGGCGACAAAGATGCGGGCCGACATCAGGTTGGAGTTTGTAGCGGAGAGAATGCGCGAGGTGGTGTGTGTGGGGGGGGGGTGTTTGCGTGTTACGTTCTGTATGTGTCTGTTCTCGCTACACGGTTATGATACAGACATACGCTACACGCGAGTTAACAGTTACAAATTTAACACGGCTAACTATGTATGCTAAACAAGCTAACTATTACGCGCGATGTACAGTATGGCATATCGCGTGAAATGTTAATCGTTAGGTTTAGCGCACGCATTACGTATATCCGAATGTGAATAATACAAATCCACCTACCATCGACGCTCCAATACTCGCCTCGGCTAAATACGTCGCAACACCCGCGCAAATAGCACTATTGCTCCCGAGCATATCTTTTTTGCGGTTCCGCTTTTCATTGTCTACTCACTTCCTTATTACTCTCTTTTGTCGATACGGACTCAATTCTCAAAATACCCCTACGTATATAAACTATTACAGACGCTTAATAATATTCAATACGTTATAAATTATATAATATCCTCGTATATTCTACTTAGCTCTCAGAATCAGTAAACACGATTAGTCTAGTATGGGCGCGAGTCAACCAGCGCTCGGACGGAACCTGGCAATGCATTACTACGTCCTCGTGACTGCAGCAGACCATTCAGGAGTGTCGTGCAATAGCCTAAATAACGGTTATGATCCATGTATGTCAGTAAGACCTGCCATTATAGTATCATACAGAAGTGTTTGCCTACTATAGCCATGGTTACAACGTAAGCCAGTGTATGCTAGTGCGGCGCATCAGTATCATACAGGAGTGTGGGTCGTAGCAGCTTGTACACGTAGCTATGTATGTAGTAAGCTGCATTAGTATCCTACAGAGTGTTGTAGCAGCCTGTACACGTATCCATGTATGTAGTAAGCTGCATTAGTTATCCTACAGAGTGTGGCATGGTCCGCAGCCTAGTAGACGTTTCCATATTGTATTGGTCAGTGAAAGCTGCATTAGTATCCTACAGAGTGTTGTAGCAGCCTGTACACGTAGATATGTATGTAGTAGCCTTGCATTAGTAATCGCTACAGAGTGTCTGTAGCAGCTGTACACGGTAGCTATTGTATGTGAGTTAAGCTAGCATTAGTATCCTACAGAGTGTTGTTAGCAGCTTTGTATAACGTATACATGTATGTATATCTAACTGAGCATTTAGGTATCACGCAGAGTACTGTGTTTGCTAACAGAGAGAGAGAGAGAGTGAGAGAGAGAGACAGAGAGAGAGGGGAAGAGCGAGAGAAAGTGAGAGGGGGAATTCGGGCCACTTCATCCGGTTAAATTAAGGAAGATAACGGCCATTCGGGGCGGGAGATTAGTCATGCGTGCCATTGCTATAACAAACGCACGTGCCTTTTTCGATCTTTAGGATAAAGCACGGTATTTTTGGTATTAAACGCGATTTACTCTCGCAGCGAAATCGAATGTTTTTCTTCTCTCGAAAATGAAAGCCGCGAACGGACAGCATAACGGACTAACACGAAATTTAATTTGCATTCGCGTTAATCGTGTGTAATATTCACTGGATCTGTGCGTGAGTGTATTGATAATCCACGATGACGTGTATCGCTACATATTTAATGTTTATATAACCTGTCACAACTCACGACGCCTTGCCGAGCGAGCACAATGTCATCTCCAACGGCGTAGCATGCAAATACACGTACACGCAACACACACCGCGTACACGGTGTATTTATTCATTAATACATAAGTTATTTATTTATAATTATACGCAGTAGGCGTACATAATGCACTTAATCATGCGAGTACACGCATTAATAAGATTGCAGACCGTGCGATTGTTTTATTTATCGGCCTTGGCACACGGATGACCGTTATTTGTCAATGCATTTTGTAGCAGGCATAGTTTGTAAGTGTATATTCGCTCGTAATATGTATCTATCTTTGCACTCTGTACGTATGTGAGTAATTCTCAACTGCGTCGTTCTCTTGTCGAATGGCGGTGTTCTGTCGCTCTCACGCATCTATCGGCGCTGTCATCGCGTCGCTGTATGTCTATGTGTTCGTGTCCATCTGCATGCTCTCCTGTTGCGTCTTATTCGTTTATTACGGATATATGTTGTTCACTACATCGTTTTAGCGAGATGGGCATCTGTCTGTCTTTGCCGAGAGCATCATTCGCCTCGTCGGCTATGACGTAAGTTGCGCATTTTGCGCGTCGCCGAGTATTAGCGACACGGCGATTTACCGCCCGATAGTGCCTCCCCCTACCGATACCCGAGAGAAGATACCGGAGATGATTCACAGAGGAGTCAGTCGGAGCATCGTATAGTCGCATGTCGGGTTTGTCTGTACTAACACTAGCACATCGCGCCCCCGCCACAGAGCTGGCATGCCGGGTTTATCTGTACTAACACTAGCACATCGCGCCCCCGCCACAGAGCTGGCATGCCGGGTTTATCTGTACTAACACTAGCACATCGCGCCCCCGCCACAGAGCTGGCATGCCGGGTTTATCTGTACTAACACTAGCACATCGCGCCCCCGCCACAAGAGGCTGCATGCCTGATTTGCGCCTGTACTACACTAGCATATCCCAACCTATGTAGCCTGGCTTCTACAATAGACTTAGTACAGAGACGCATAGAACAGCGTAGCATGGTATACATCCCCTTTATGGCAAACGTCCCCTTCTAATTGAGCATGGCATAACGATCCAATCCCCATGCCCATGCGCCATGTGCACCCTGCTAGACATGCCCATTCCCATGGGGAATAGGGTGGATGCAAACCATATTACACCAGCTACGCAAGTTAGTTGTGTAGCGCATCATCTCACAAAAATCCACGCATGAGACAACAGGCGCGGGGTCTCCGTTTCCAATCGAAAAATCATGAAAAATTTCCAAAACGCATTTCAAACATCGGCGACTAGGGTCCCTATATACAAAAAAAATATAAAATATTCTATATACATAAAAATACATAAATTTGTATATAGGAACCCTAGCGGCGACGTGCAAAAGAAGGCCCTCGCGTCATCTCGCGCGGGGACCTCGCGCCGCTAAGATGGCCGCCGCTGCTAGCAACGACGGATGATTGTCTCATCAATTAAGCCCGGGCTTGCGTCAAAATACTCATGCGAAATAAAAATGTAAATTTTCAGCGTCCGCCGCACACGTGAGTAAAATTACTCAAGGTATAAGTGAAAATGTAGATCACGTGACTGTGCGCAGCCGATACTGGGCGCAGTCATCTTTAAAATGATTTAAGCGCATGCGCTATGAGTACCAGTGTTGAGTAAATTTACGCAGCTAGCGGGTACACGTTTAGTATTTGGACGTCAAAAATTATCAAACATGTTTGATATTGAGTTTCTTGATGCGATTGCGTCCAGAAAACCGAAAAATCCGGTGCCACACTTGAGTATTTTGACGCATGCATGCATTTTACGAGCTTAAAAATTACTCACGTGGGCGCCGGGCTGTTCATACGTTCGTCTATTAGCGGCACGATTAAAGTGCGACGCGATGACGTCATCGCGCGCTAAACACGTCACGCGTTGCTTTTCGAATCGGCTTTTCGTAATTGGGTCCAAGATGGACCGAATGTAGCGGCCAATCACGGGCGGTAATCGCTATCACGTGATCACACTGCCAGTCACGCTAGGCGGCCAGACGTGAAGATGCAATATCTAGCTGCAGTGGTCGTCTGAACTACGTACGCTATGGGTAATCGCACGTGGATTATTAAAAGTCACGGGCGGGCCGAGTTACGGTCAATGTTATGCTGACGGTTATGGATTAGGTTAGGGTTAGTGCTAGGGTTACGGATTAAGTTAGGGTGAGTGGTAGGGTTACGGATTTGGTTAGGGTTAGTATTAGGGTTACGGATTAAGTTAGGGTTAGTGCTAAGGGTTACGGATTGGGTTAGGGTTAGTGCTAGTGTTACGGATTGGGTTAGGGTTAGTGCTAATGTTACGGATTGGGTTAGGGTTAGTGCTAGTGTTACGGGTTGGGTTAGGGTTAGTGCTAGTGTTACGGATTGGGTTAGGGTTAGTGCTAAGGGTTACGGATTGGGTTAGGGTTAGTGCTAGTGTTACGGATTGGGTTAGGGTTAGTGCTAATGTTACGGATTGGGTTAGGGTTAGTACTAGTGTTACGGATTGGGTTAGGGTTAGTGCTAGTGTTACGGGTTGGGTTAGGGTTAGTGCTAGAGCTACGGATTGTGTTATGTTTAGTGCGAGGGTTACGAATTGCATTAGGGTTAGGGTTAGCGGGGGCGATTAGAGAACCTTGACCCTAACCCGAACCCTAAACTTACTAATGAGCTCTACGACTAGTCTTCTACTCTAGCCCCATTAAGAAGAATGTGTTGTAGCGCGAGAGTCACCGTAGTATAGACCCACTCTAACCCCTGCCCCTTACGGCATGAAATCGATCTCGGCGCTGATAGTGTCGACTCTGATAATGCCGTGGTGCTCGTGCAAGATCCTCGCATTTGACTCACATCACGTAGCAATCCGCACTCCTCTTCACTTCTTCACAGCTTCCTCTCGTATCTGCTGCTGGGACATGTGCAGTGGGACGTTACAGGTCGCACTCGTGCTGGGTTACTCTGTGGAGGGGGCGGCGAGCGAGCATATACGTACACCACGCACAGTGCACCGCGTTGAGAACTAACCGTAGTGCTTTATTTATTGTTCAATTCGCAGAACGCAGAGATGCCTTCACATAAAGCCCTTGTTAAACCTCTCGGGTGGATCAACAATCTCCTGGGAAAAATGGGACTAGAAAGCAAGATGATTGACAAGGTAGTGCCACACACTTGCACGCTTTCCCTGCATTCGATACGAACAATACAGCCGTTGCTGAGTGAATCTGGCGCCGCTCATGCGCATGCGCGCCAATAGCCAGTGCGATTCGCAATTCGCCTACTTCTTGCAGCCGACGTCAGGGGGCGCTCGATGTCCTCGACTCGCGTCTCCACTGGCTATACTAGCGCGCGGCATGAGTCAAAATAGCGAGAGTCCGATTCTGCCGCCAGAGTGTGCTTCTGTGCGGAGCGAGACCGCACATGTTAACGTGGCGTGCGTTTTAGCGGCTCTGAGAAAAAAAAACAACGGCGGGCGTTTGCACCGCGCGCGACAGGCATTGCAGCGGCGAGGTAGCGGATGCAGTGCAAGGGTATGGCATTATCTTGTCGACTCTTGATCACGTTTCGTCTCTTATTGCATTCACTAATAGAAAGCTTCTCTTATATACGGAGTTCTGCCGTGCACGATGCCACGATTCATCGTGGCAATGGCTGTATTGTTCGTGTGGAGGCCGGTATATATATATATATATATATATATATATATATATATATATATATATATAAATTTACATTTGCATGATTAGCATGTACTTTACTAAGCACTTAATGACTTATTTGGGACGAAGGAGGAGGAGGAGCAGAAGGAACGGTTACTTGATCTGCATGCCTTGCACGTGCGCTTGCTTTGTCTCTTCGTGTGCGAACGAGAATGAGAGAGAGAGAGAGAGAGAGATGTGGGGGAGGGGTTTAGACACGTATCATATATTTCTCGTATTTGCGTGTGATATTCATTCTCAGTTCAAATTGCATTTCCCCAGTTATTCTCTTGCAGAAATCATCGCAGACAATCTGTCTGCATACGCTGATCGACCAGACCCACGAGGTTAATTTACGTGACCTCTTTTCCTTCGTTACCTTTATAATTTGTCACTCCTCGCCGAACCGACCCGGAGAACAAGTGGCGTGTCATTCGCCTCATTTCCGGATGCCTTTGTTCCCAGGGGCGGATCCAGAGGGGGGGTCGAGGGGGTCCGGACCCCCTCTCTTTTTACCACAAAAAAACGAAAAAAGCATACCCCCCCCCCACCCCCACCCCACCCCACCCACCCACCACCCTAAGTGGCCTTCGGCAGCTTTTTAAAACATCAGAAAAAGTAAGCAGGAAAAAGTGCCCTTTATTTCTTTCTGGACACCCCCTTTTCAAAAATCCTGAATCTGCCCCTGGTTCCCCCACATTCCCGGCGATATATCCACCTGGCCTTCTTTGAACTGCTTACCGACAAAACTAAACACACGGTGTCTGATTTCCTATTCATCCCGAACGTATGTGGCAGTTAACCCGAATGAAGGCGTCGTTATATACCATCGATCTTCGTTCGCTACTTTAAACAAACGTAGACGCAGTGTTGACAGAGGCGTTGAATTATTCGAGTTAACGAACAACGTGGGCGACGTGAAGCGAAACGTTGAACCGCCATTTTTTTTCCAGCAGTGCACCGCGCGGTGTCGTAGTGCAGCTGAGCATATTTCGCCATGTAACGCCACGCTTTCCTAGCTAACCTTTCTCGCGCAAGTTACGTCAAAATATGTGTGGATCGTTTTCTTGTCCGTGGATCTGCGTGGTACTGACGGCTGGAAAGACAGATGACTAGCCCGCTTTTAAACGCCCGCCTTAGTGTTCATGGATGACCACAACCACCGCAACGAAATGACGCGAGGCGAGTCACGTGACTACGCATCGCGCGATGTGGTATCACGTGACGACGTCGCATGAAGCTGCATCATGTGACACCACGAGGCCCGCTCGGCTGTCAGCGAAGGTGCGCGGTGCGAGTTGACACGTCCGATATCCGAAATCCGGGTTCAGACTAATCTCCGCACTCGGGCCCGTGAGTTGGCAAATCGCGTCTTCTTTTCTTTGCGCAAAATCCGGTGTTGCGAACGAGAAATGCCTCAGCGCCACCTGGTGCCCGTTGCGCGACCGCATCACGTTGGAGTTCTTTTTTTTACATTTTCGTAATAAGTCTAGAAGTGGTTATTAGTTATGATTGGCTGAATACATTTACTAGAGTGCTCCGGTGTCAATCATGCTGCACTTAGGTACCGGAAGGCGACGAAGTGTGCCTTATACAATTGCAGCTTTTTCTTATCACTGGATTAGGTGCTATTTTCGAATGTTTTCTATTTGGGAGCCGGAACTCGCGACCGTATTGCCTCACGGTGGAGATAACCATAAACACCGTTGGGTTACGTAGTAATAGATACACACGGCGTGCCATAATGCAGTTACTGATGAAATTATACTGTATTGCAATTTACCGAATAGCGTTATATAATGCACACCTGGCTCATGCGCTCTCTCGCAGAAATTATATGTCTGATACAGGTAAATATACATATGAAATTTAGCAATGAATGTACAAGGAAAATGGAAACATTCGCGTCCAGAAATGGAAACATTTCCTCCGCTTGGCATCAATATCCGCCCACCACTAAAACGAAAAATACATAAAACGCCAATGTCTCCCTTTTCCTTGTACAGTCATTGCTGAATTTCATATGTATTTTTTCGTATAGCAGATATATAATTGCTATTCTTACACAACCCACAGCATCGCAATCAGCCGCACATGATCGCCGAGGCAAGTGGCGATTCCGGCACGCGACGAGCAACCATCGTTTTCATTCATATACGTCTGTTATGTACGGTGATGCAACGTTTAATGAGTCCACACAGTGATCAAATCAGCGTCTGGGGAGATTAATCTGCCAGATCCGTGTAATCGAATGATTAATGAGTCTCTCTCTCTCTTGCTAGAATTATTCTCGTCATGGTCGCTGTGTATTGCCGGAAGCACACACAGCCGGCAAATTAGCATAGCGCTTTCGGGAGAAGCAGATATCTGAAGTTGGTGTATAAAACACACTGAGGGGAATAGCTAGGGAACGATCAGGCACGCAGTCTATACTACGCCTACAGCGATGAGCGAACCAAATTACAAAAGAACTGGTATATGGTCTGATATCAATGAGTAATGAACGTATCTCGTTTAATTAAGATATTTCGGAGAATCGTTTAGGGAGGTGGCCGGAAAACATTTGTTAATTCTCCTCCCTTGCGCCTTATTTAAAAAGGTCTTTTCTATATGTACAATAATCGTTATCTAATGGCACTGAATAAGCAGTGTCTATCTATCCATCTTAATATATTTCATGTATATAAGAGCCGATATTTAACCACTAAGCCACGACGCCTCAATTGCGCATCGTTGCCTTTATTAGAGTTAACCCAACTAGCAACTAGAAATAACATAACTGTTTTAATGATTAAATATATCCAGTGGGAATAGGAATTTACTGTTCGTCCGCAAAACGGAATAAAATTTAAACAAAATGTTTAATCAAACGCCGAGTTAATAATTTTTGTTCCGCACTAAACGTAATTAAATGAGTACATATAAGCAACCACAAATCCAATAATCGTATTTTAATGTTCGAAATACAATGGAATGCATGTAAATATCAATATTATTATGAAAGAATTTTATGCCAGCAATTGAATAACTAATCTAACCTTAGTATTTAAAATACTATTAACTCACATAAAGCGATGCAACGCGACGCAACACAACGTGACGTCAAGTATCGTGAAGTGGCGCGACGTATCGCGGTGTGACACGTCTGAACATGATGTGACGGAACGTGTCGTGGCGTGGCGTAAAGTGACTGGACATGACGTTACATGACGTGGTCTGATGGAATGTGACGTGACGTGACGTGACGAAACATAACGTAGAATCACGTGACGTCATGCAACGTGACGTGACACAACGTTACGCGAGGGACATGACATGGCGGGGTGTGCCGTAACGTGACGTGACCACGCGTAAAGTGACATGACGTAACGTGTCGAAGCACAGCGTAACAACGTAATATATATATATATATATATATATACTGTATGTATATATTATATATATATATATATATATATATATATATACTGTAACACTTATCAGCGATGGCGGGTCTCTGGTCACGTGTATATTCTGGTCAAGCATGCGCACATGTAAAATCGGCGTGTGCGTGCATGATTAGCTGCATTACACGGTCATGCCGATGCAGCGGCAATTATTGTACGCCTCGAATCGTTAGTGGGCGAGTCGAAAATTAATAAAACACAGGAGCCAGCGCAGCAGCTCATCAGGCAAGTCACGGGGAAAATCCACAGGAATCTGACAGTCATTAGGCCGTGTGTGCGCGCACGTACACGCGCGCGCGTGTATGTGTTTGTATGAATGTATGTATGTATGTATGTATGTATGTATGTATGTATGTATGTATGTATGTATGTAT